CACCAAGAAAAAAAAAGCTCAATTCTCTTTGTAACTTACTTTTCAAACCTAATTGTCCACAAGACCCTTTCTTCACTTCACATTTTATTACCATCCTGCAAAGTCAATAAGAATGTGACCTCAACATCAGAAAATCTAAATTTGAACTTGTGCTCCAACATTCACTAGTGTGGCCACCTGGAGCAGGCTATTTAATGATGACCGTGAGCATAAGCATCTCCAGGTATGAAATAGATTTAACAATCAAGAGCTTAGCACAATGTAAGGGTCATAACAGATGTTGGATTAAGTCCTGATCATTATGATTCTATAGGAATTATACTGGGAATTTTTAACTTCCCGTCAAATTACTAATATAAAGGTTATGTATTAAATTTTGCCGTCACTCTTATGACAGTCAAAAAGTGTTTGTTTTTTCTAATCAAAGAAAACAAACTTTTTTCCTCCACCTCAACTTTTTCTTTTCTTTTCTCGTATTTTTTGTGATTTAGAGAATTTCAAGTCAGACCAAGAAAGGTCAGAAATCCCTTCTATCTCATCCAGGCTCTTGATTGCACCCACATGTTGCTATAAACAATAGGATGCCATGTCATACAAATGGGTCTGGACAAAGATAAGCATTGACTTAGTCTGTTAAAATCACTCTAACAAAAATGCCATAAAGCATGTGGCTTAGACATTCATTTCTCACCTTTCTGGAAGATGGAAAGTCCAAGATCAAGATGCCAGCAGGCCGAGTGTCTGGTGAGGACCCCCAAGAAGATGGCCATTTTCTTGCATGTCTCACATGGTGGAAGGGGCGAGGGAGCTCCTTTAAGTCTACTTTATCAGGGCACTAATGCCATTCATGGGGGTTCCACCCCCATAACCCAATCACCCCCAAAGACCCTGCATCCAAGTACCATCTCATTGAAGGCCTGTGTTCACCAGATGAACTTGGCGGAATACAAGGGCCCAGTCTACAGCAACTGTTCTAGGATGAAGCAAGCTTTCGCTTTTGCCTCCCACTGGCCCGTCAGTAAGACTGTGCTCACGTCAGACACTGAGACCTAGTTCTCCTGTTCTCGACCATCCCACTCAAAGGAACAACCTCCCATTGCACTCCCAGCCGACCCACTCATGTACCAGAAGCCTAATCATGCCCAATCTCTCCCTCCAAGGTGTACAACTTTTCGGTAAGCATTCAAGACCTCATGTTTGCCATGGGGTTGCTGCTCAAGTTATTTGCATTTGTATTCTAACATCCTTCAAAGTCTTAAGTCTGATTAACTCTAAAAATGAAGAGATTGCTAGTAAATGATGGGTGGGATGTCATCCCAGAGGGAGGGAAGACCTCCCTAAAATTGTAGAAAGTAATTTCTCCAACCTTGACAAGTATCCTCGCTTGTTCTAATTAATGCTTTCTTTGATGATGAGCACAAACCCACTTCCAGCACATTATTTAAACTGCACCTGTATTTTCTTAGATTGTTCTCACCTTATGTTATACTGAACTTGGTAACCTCCCTGAACCAGTTGTCACTCAGTGCTAAGTCTGAACAGTGCCACAGAAGACAGTGTTCCACCCCACGATCAACATTATGACCTTGAGATTATCTCCCAAACAAGAGGTTGTGACCAGCAGCCCCACGTTTCAGACGGATCAGAGACCCATCCATCCCTCAGTTACCCAGCCCAGAGTTCTCGCGCTCAGTTGTTTGTTCACCAGCATCCCTAGGACTGACCGTGCTGACACTGCTTTTCACACACACCAGGAAAGTTCCCTACTGTAATGAATGATAAATGAATAAATGGCTTTTTCCAGTCTTACTGCAACTTGTGACCCAGAGACGAGGGCTAGTCCTCAATGCTGCTCTGATGGCATGTCTCTGAAACTTGTTTCCTGCTCTAAGAAAATAGAATTAGCTATGAGGAAAATGTCAACCCATCCCCAGCCTCCCAACACCAGAAATAAAATGCAGAAAGGGTGTGATTCATGAAAGGGCATGCAAGATCATCCGACAATTATCCAATTACTAAAAATCTTCTCTAAAATCTACTCACCTCACATTTTTCAAAATATTGTTTGGATTCTATCATTAAAGTTATGCCTTAATCAACATTGAAATAAAGCTATAAAGAGCCTTATTCTTTTACTGTTCACTCCATAAAAAATTGAGCTAGCTGCCTAGTTCTGATATATGATTGCCAATGAAGCCTTGAAAAGTGTGCTGTTCTTGCTGGCCCCTAGTGGACAGTTCTGGAAGTGTGAGAATGCATTGCATTCTGAAAGGGTGCAGGCCTCATTCATTTCGAGGCCCTTGTTTACTCACTGCATTCAGGGTCAACAAGCTTCACTACCTTGGTGTTTAATGGCATATAGTAACTGTCACTTCATCCATGTGGTTCCTGGGCTCACAAACCTAATACAATTTGTAACACTTGTTTCTTAAAGCTGCTTAAGAATCACCCATAACTCTCGGTGATGGAAAACCCACAGGGATTACAATTGCGATGAAAAAAAAAATGTACAAAATGATGTAAAAATAAACTATTATATTAAAAAAAAAAAAGAGTCACCCATAACGGCCCTCCCTAGTGGTGCAGAGGGTTAAAGCACAGCACTGAGAATCTAAAGCCACTTCCGCATGAGTTGATCCCTGCCTGCCCCGGAGGTGACCACATGGCGTGGCAGACCTCTCCTGACCCGCCCACTGCTCCCCTCAGCAGTGTACTTCGTCAATCTGCCTGTTCTGCTCCCCACTCTGTCCCTAGTGAATCCTCTCACCCTCCGCATCTCTGGCCTGTACCCCAGTTCTGTATGTATGAATAAATAAATCTTTTTTAAAAAATCACCCATTAACTATGGCATGATAATATTCAAAGTCATACTACTCAACCCAAACTCTGTAGACCACTACTGGAAGCAATTTGCTCCACAAAGGATTTGTGGACTCTGAAAGTGTATTAGAACGGCCTGAAACTGACCTGTCATTTGGGGAACAGAACACCGGGAACACACTGTGGTGGAGGGACGAGTCAGGAAAGACCTTAGGAGCTGCCCCTGCCCATACCCACTTTTCTATCAATAGTCCGAGGATTATAGTTCAATAGCTATTTGTTCAAAGGCCAAGAGATTGATCTGTGATGACAGCTGAGTTCCCCTCTCCTGCGCCGTCCACCACACATCCCCACCACCTCCGACATTCTCTTTAAGTGTGTTGTATTGGCTGTAATATTTTTTCTTCCATCATATATGCTCTCTGTGACAGGAGATTCACCCAGGAATTCAGTCTGGCGTGCCATCAAGCTTAGAGGAGCCAGCACCGTGGCTGCCACGTGCCCCTAGCAACATGCACCACACCTGACACACATGGGTCTCTGTGTGAGAGTGCCTGAGTGAACGGACATCAATAAACAGAAGAACTGATGCTACAGACGCTGGAGGAATTAAAAAAAAAAAAAAAGCAGGGCCCTCCCTGTTGGCGCAGCGGGTTAAAGCACAGCACTGAGAATCTAAAGCCGCTTCCGCATGAGTTCGATTCCCGCCTGCCCCGGAGGTGACCACATGGCGTGGCAGACCTCTCCTGACCCGCCCACTGCTCCCCTCAGCAGTGTACTTCGTCAATCTGCCTGTTCTGCTCCCCACTCTGTCTCTGGTGAAGACTCTCGCCACCCCTGAGCTTCTGGCCTGTACCCCAGTTCTGTATGCACAAATAAATAAATCTTTAAAAAAAAAAAAAAAAGCAGGATAGAATGTTATTCTGAAACAAAAGGCCTGGGGAAGACTGCATGGTGCGTAGCATGAACAGGTTTCTTATCTGTGACACTGACTCCTGGGTTTGCTGTGGGCAGCAACAGAAATATTCCAAGTGAAACTTCCAAATGAGCACTATTAAGAGAGTGTGTTGAACAGGATGATAATGAATTGTGGATAAAATACGCTAAAGATGGACCCTCCCTGGCGGTGCAATAGGTTAAAGCACAACACTGCAAGCTAGCCACAGCTGAGTCAGTGTAAGTTCGGTCCCCGTTCCCGGCAGCCCCGGAGGTGACCCACCTGGTGTGGCAGACCTCTCCTGACCTGCCTGCTGCTCCCCTCAGCAGTGTACTTCGTCAGTCTTCCGGTTCTGCTTCCCACTCTGTCTCTGGTGAATCCTTGCACAACTGGCCTGTACCCCAGTTCTATATGCATAAATAAATAAAGCTTAAAAAAAAATAAGCCAAAGCTGGCAATTAAGCTACAATGTGGAATTGCAGCAGTCTGGGGCCCAGCCCAGAGCAGAGGCAAAAAGGCATTGACTGCTTGAACTGAAGCCCTCACTCACACCTCAGATGGAGAGGGGTGACAGGGAAAGCACTTTGTGGCCAAGAAACTACAGCACGGAGCACTCCTTTATTTTATTGTTAGATATTAATATTAATATAGAAACTAACATTTACTTAGGTTACAAAGTAAGAGCTCAAAGCCACTAATAGATCATGCTTAGTGAAATAAGCCATAAAGAAAAGGAAAAATAACGGTTGGTTTCACTCATAGCAGGAATATATTGGACCAGGCAAGAAAATAACAATTATAATGAAAAGCCATATACCAGAGACATTTTAATGGGTGGAGTAGGGAATGGGGATCAGAAACAGTGGGGGGAGGGAAATGCACTGGACTGTGATGGCACACGGGTGATTTGGTGATGGAAGCCCGCAGGGATTACAAATGAGATGGAAAAAGGCACAAAATGATGTAAAAATAAACTATCATATTATTTTTTTTTTAAGAAAGAACTTTTAACATATAACTAAAGTAATCGTCTGGCTTTAATATATGCACCTTCTCCAGGAATGCACTTAGAGCTGTAAGTGTCTGCTGAAAACTCTACCCAGCGAGGTCCTTTCAGAGAACCAGATCCAGGATAGCACCCACCGCTGTTGCCAGCGCTGTCCACACGCGGGCGCAAGCCTCTGACGACCTAATTCTCCTTCTTAATTTGTGTATAGGGGGCTATACGCAAGCACTTGCTGAAAACTCTACCCAGCGAGGTCCTTTCAGAGAACCAGATCCAGGATAGCACCCACCGCTGTTGCCAGCGCTGTCCACACGCCGGCGCAAGCCTCTGACGACCTAATTCTCCTTCTTAATTTGTGTATAGGGGGCTATACGCAAGCACTTGTTTATAAATCTAAATCCATTCCTTTTTTTCAAGCCTAGTATTATAACTAGAATGCTATATCCATTGTTTAAAAGGATATATGCATTTGGATTATATTAACTTTGAATTTCATTTCAAAATATACTGAAGAAAATATGTCAGAGTCTGAGAAGACACAGACTCTAATCTCGCCCAACTCCTTACTCTACAATGAAACTGAGGTTCAGAGAGGTGAAGTAACTCGTTCAAGGCAAGGTGAAGACCAAGTTGGAACTAGAGCTACCGGTGACCGAGTTCTCCTTCCAAAACACGCCTTGGCCCCAAGATGAAGACCACATAGCCGCAGAGGAAAGAACGCACCTCACATTTGAGGCTCTTTGGAATAAATAATGCCACTGGGTTAGGTCTTAAATTGAGGCTCTTCTCTGTCCGCAGATGCTCCCAGGAGGTCTGAATTTGTGAAAAACTAGGAGAAATGGTATCTCGTCTCAGCTGGCTGCTACACTTACTTGTGCACTAAAATATAGTGTGAACTATTCCCAGGAGGAGCCCATAAGGCAATTAACATTTAGCTCTAAATTGGCTTCTATCTAAATCACTGCCCCGCATTCGCGAAGCAGGAAAACATTTTCATCTTCTGTATACAGTACTCGACTCCACCACACGGGGCGCTCTCAATCGGAAAAGAAAACAAGGCTGTGGTCCAAACCCTCAAAGCAAAATGAAAACGAAATATTGTGCTCAAATTAAAGCTAAGACCGGCAATTACAGTATTCATGATAAATTTGTAAACTAAAATGCCTCTCCTTTTGGACTCAGCCTAGTAAACATTTTCCAGTTTTGTTGACCTAGGTGTTCTAAGCAAGCCTAGGGAATTCTGAGCCTGGGAAATTCTGAGCCTGGGTAATGGACTTTGCTTCAAATGAATATGATCCTAAACACCTATGCAATTGTTTTTATCAAGTTGATGGAATTTGTATCTATAAAATAAAAATAAAATGCAATTGTCTGAAGTTACAAATGCACTGAGCCAAAAGCATTTAACTCTCTGCGTCCAGTGATACAGAATTGTCTTTTCACATTATCTTAAGTGAGGCCGGAGGCAGACACAGCAGGCAGGTGGAGACAGGCAAGTGCTGTTGCAGATGTTCTGTGGCAAAGGAGCATGGCTGGTGGTTTTAAAACCCTAGGGAGAAAAAAGAAAAGAGAGAGAGCTCATTATTATGGTCACTTTCTTAGGGAAGGACCTCAGTGAACCAAGAGAGGGTGAGCTAGGTTCACGTCCATAAGACATTCAACTGGTTTATTTATTTATTAACATTTATAAAAATTACTTATTAGCCTAAGTAAGCCATTATTATTTTCATAATAATTCTTTATTAGCCTTGTAAGTCATGGAAACTGCTTATACGCCATCAGCAAGAAGGTCCAGAAATCAAACATGTGAAGAGAAGAAAAGTATTCCCTAGGAAGCAAAACATTTGTTTTGCTGCACAAGGCTGATTATTAAGAAGAGTACTGAAGCACAGAAACTTGATCCACCTGAAACTATCCACTTACTTGGCAATACACATCTTATTGGAGAAGGACTCCGGCTTCGAGATATCTAGAAAATAGACGCATAAAGTGAATTTCACCGTAAATAAAGCTCAAAGAAGAATTGTTTTGACATTCCCCCCAACCCCAAAACTAGAGAAGTGGTTTTGAATCCCTCTTTTTTTTTGTATTTATATATATATATAGTTACATTGTTGTTCACTTTAAAGATAAATTTGTGCCATTTGCAGCAATATGGATGGAGCTGGAAGGGATCACGCTCAGTGAAATAAGTCAGAAGGAAAAGGAAAAATATTGAATGGTTTCACTTATAGGAGGAGTATAGGGGAACCAAATAAAACATAGGAGGACAAAATAACAACAATGCAAAACAAAACAATTATAAACCAGAGATTTTGAATCCCTCTTATGACACTTTGGGACTATGATTTTTCCTCCTAAGGTTAAGCACGAGTCTGTGAACATTCGATTTACTTTCCACTTACATTGTTAATTAGAAGCTGGGTTCAGTGTGTGCCAGTATATTTGTTTGTCTTAATGGTTACCAAAGAGTTTGAGGTTGGCTGCTCAGGTGACATATTAAATTCAATGTTTCCCAGAAAACGATCATTAAATAACTCAGGTAATTATTTAAAATAACTAATGAAAATGATCAAATATTCTCTGGCATACCCTTCGGCACATCGCCTCATGTGTCTGAATGCTGCTGTACTGGGCAGCCAGAAAAGAATTTTTCAAACACTACCATGTGTAGCCATTGGCCTGTCATGGCTCAGAAATCACTCGCTACAAGCATCACCCTTGTGCTAGGCTTTCCAGGGCTTTATGGAACTATGCACTAACACTGACTGAAGACCTGCTGGGTTACCCAGAAGACTGAAACTTAGCCAAAACCAGACGAAAGAAAAATATTTTAATTTGCAAATGTACTCAGACTTTGAAAAAGAGGATGGTGGAAAGGGACAGAAAGTTGGCAACTGTTTGAGGATATATTTTATTTCCATCTGAAGCTTAGTTTGTTCTTCCCAGGCAAAAATTTATACAGGGGGTTATTACAGAGATAAGCTTTCCTGGAGGGTTCAGTGATAAATGTTGACCTGGCTGTAAGCATAAAGGGGTCTAATGTTTGTCTTTCTTTTGAGATGAAGGATAATTTTGTTAGAAGGATAATTGCCATTCTTCCAGTATAAAACTCTCAAGATTCCCTTTTTAACAGCCCCTTAAATGCAGTCCTTCTGTTTCTGCCTACTGTATGTATTCATAAATAAGGACAAGTACGTTACAGTAAAATCTCCATGAGCAAAAGAACTGTGTCTGATACATGCTTTTTTTTTCACTCTCAAGACATTTCCTTCATCTGGATATTTTGTCCCAGTTTCCCAGCTCATTAAAATTCCATCCAGTCTAAAAGATTAGCTCAAACACCAGCCCCTTCTCACTGCTAAACCTAGAAGAGATCTACAGTCTGTCTCTGCTCTTCTTTGATGGGCTACATCAAACCCCACATATTCAACTACCTTGTTTAAGTCATATTGATCTTCCCATGCTGAAAGCCATTTAGGGAAAAGACCATTTTTAATTATTAGAATCCTTCAGCTACAGAAGGAACATTTGATAAAGAACAAGCAGAAGCAACATTTGATAAAGAACAAGCAGAAGCAACAATGGATGCTCATTAAAGTCAGCAGGGAAGGAGGGTTTTATTAACTGGGGGTCACTTGGATTCATTTTTGTTAGAACTTTAGGGCTGAAGCTGCACTGCTAGAGATAATTCAAAGAAGCAGAATGTTGCCAGATGTGGTTCTCCATCCCTCTCTGTAAAACAAGGTCAAACAAATATTTGAAGAATTTTTATTTTGCGGGAATAGCACATTATTAGCCTCTCTGGTGTCCACATGTCTTGGTCCAGCTCTATATTCAAAGGCATTGACTAAATATTATTTATTGAATACATGATTGTTGGTGAATTATAAGAATGTTTTTAGTTTTCAGAGTAGTTTCCACTGCTGTTTTCTTTGAAAGACATTAGTAATCCTCCCAAGAACTAATACACAAAAGAAACTGGTCTTAGTCTTCCCACTTTGAAGTTTGGAGGAAAATTAATACTTACAATGCCCATTATACAATATGGAAATCCAGACCACTCGAGCGATTTCTCCAAATTCACAAAATACATATTAGAGCAACCAGGGAGGCATCCAGTGATCAGCTGATTTAGGGGCCCCGCCCTCTTTAAGAAGATTGACATCTTATAGCCTGATTTCATTCAAAGATAAGAATGAAACCATGCAATAAATCTCATTATTCTTTCAAATAAGAAAAAAACTACCTTTACTTCCTTCTTTCTAGAATGAACCCCAAGGCAGTTTGGGGTTCTCTTCCAACCTACACACTTACAACTGCCTATGCCAGAAAAGACAATTACAAGAAAGTGCCGGCCTGCTGGCCTGGGAGCTGGGCTGGCCCCTCAGTGGCTCCTCACAAGCCCTCGCCTGTCAATGTGCATTCCACTTGTCCCCTGCTCCCAGAAGCTGCCCACGGAGAAACCCGAAGTAAAATGAGTTCTAGACCATCTGGCTAGTTATAGCCTTTATCTAAATGCTGCCATCTGGGGAGTGAGGAACTACTTGTCTTGCAGCCACGGAGACAAAGCCTCTACAGTCACTTCCCTTGGCTATTAAAACTTCACCTACAACTATGGAGAGGTCCTTCTCTTCGTTCTCTCCTTACCCTCCACGTACAGAGACCAGTTTCAGATTATACCTGGTAAGCTGCCCAATGATTAGTAACTAGCCAGGAGACCAAAAAGGCACTGAGCAGGGAGTCCTGTGCCGTCGTCAACCTCTAAATGGGGAGGGGTGGCCTGCACCAGCCTCCTGCGCAAATTGCCTGGCTTTGGGAAAGACCTTATGCTGGCCACTATGTGCAGGGCGGGTGGAGAGGTTGGTGCTGGGACTGCTAGGTGAGTGGGGGGCTGCTTTCATGTGCTTGTTTGCGAACAGTGCATAGAGCTCTGCGGCAAACAAGAGAAAGGAATGTTTGCTGCAGTGGGCAGGCCTCTCCTGTGGGCAGTTCAGTTGACCACTAATGCTCAGTTGAGAGTGAACTTGAGTTAAAAGGCTGCAAGAGGGCCCTCCCTGGTGACACAACAGGTTAAAGTAGCTCTCCGAAGCTACTGCTGCACGAGTTCGGTCCCTGGCCATGGCGTGGCAGACCTCTCCTGACCTGCCCTCTGCTCCCTCAGCAGTGTATTTCAGTTCATCTGCTTGTTCTGCTCCTCACTCTGTCTCTGGTGAATCCTCTCACCCCCGACACCTCAGACCTGTACCCTGGTTGAAGAACTAAAATAAGAAACCTCGCTGTGTTGGTTTGCAAAGGTAGGAGAGCACATGTGGCCATGGATAAAGAATTTGCAACAAAGCCTGATTAAGATGCTAAGAGAAAAATCCTTTGGAAAGTGAAGAAAGATCCTTAAGCAGTAATTAGCCCAAGCTCTCTTAGGAGGCAATTTGCCCTTTTTCCTCTCTCCTAGAAGTTGTGAATCTAATCAGCCTTTGAAACATATATGCCCCAGCAGCAAGAGAACCAGAACACTGTCCACAGAGACTGAAGGAGACAAGTGAGGACAGAGGTTTTACACCCAGACTGCTACTAGCAAAGGCTTTGGTCATACAAATGGATCCCTGGCCAGGGCGGTGACCCACAAGACACAGCAGACCAGCAGACCTCTCCCGTCTTGCCCACTGCTCCCCGCAGCAGTGTGTTTCAGGAGATCTGCCTGCTCTTTTCTCCACTCTGTGTCTAGCGTATCCTCTCACCTCTGGCCTATACCCCAGTTCTTGTATGCAGAAATAAATAAATCTTAAAAAAAAAATTAATTTCACATTTCAGAGCAGGCATGCAAAACTTGTTGTCTGGCAGTGGCCCAATCAAACAAAGTTCCCTTACTAAAACTGCCACCTGCCAATACGGAATGGACTGCCTTACCATACAGCGGCTTCCTACACTCCGAGCATGGGGCCAGCTTCACGTTCCACCCAGGCTACCACCTGACTTTACAGGGGAGTGCTGAAGAAAAAGATCAACCCATGGTGGCTTGTGTAAAAAACAATTAGACAGATAAGTACCGTGCTTAAACCAATGTGGCTACGGGGGTAGATGGGGCTTAAACTCCTGCTCCGACATCGACTCACAGATCGCACAGAATTCCACTAGAAAGAAAGAGGAAATAAGAGTCAATGGTTTGTGAAAATGCACAAGGCATAAAGCAGGCAGATGCTGTGGGCTGAGAGGCGTTACTGACAGAAGGCGGTGCCCACCCACAGCCATCAGCGGGCTAGTCTCCTCTCATTCCCTGTAACTGTCCAGTATTCGACAGTAAACTTAGGGTGTGTCTCAAATAAAATCCCATTACAATGAACTTTGGTATATTCCATTTCTTGATGTTCACAGAATTTTGTTTTAGTGTGTAAACCATTATAAAAAAATTACACTCAAATCTGCAAGTGTTGAAGAATATAAGCATCCCATGGGCAGGGATCTGTGTCTCTCCACTGCTGAATCCTCAGCACCTCCACACAGTGCTTGGATCATAAGTAACTACGTAGTAAGTGATTATTGAATAAGATGCTCTAAGAGTGACTGAATGACTCACCACTCTTGCCCACCTACTCTCTATGAGTAAGACAAAATCTGTACTCACTGTAATGAGATTTTATGAGCAAAAAAGTATTGCCAGTTATTGCCAAATTTCCCTTTGTCCAGTCCTTTCTTTTTCCAACTTCTTCCTTTTAGAGAAGTTGTTTTTAGAGGAAGTCATTTTGTTTTAAGACTTTTAGTTGGGGCAAACATGGTGATATGCTTGACGGGAAAGGAGGAAATTAAAAGACAGCTGCTATGTCACACAGAAGCTAAGGACAGTGGCTACTTGCTCTCCCTTCCCTGCAGGGAGGACAGGACAGATGCATTAACAGAAGGTGATTATTTGGGGGTGGGTGAGGGTGGCAAGAAGCGTGTCTTATGGGCTCATTCACTGGAGAGCATGTGAGTGGTCTGGTCAACACAACTCACTTTTCTATGTGCTGAACTTTCACTGCACAGAAGAGTTTCCTGAGTTACTGCTAGCTGTCATGGAATGTTTCAGCTTATGTTCCTTACATGGTATTCTCCTCCTGTACTACGTAAGTGGAAAGCTGCCAGGATGAGCCTCCCCTGTCCTTTGGTTCAGAGAGACCACTCAATGGTGGTTTGCTCTAGACTGAGGAGCTTCATTTTAGAATTCATTTAACTTTCTGGAAGGGCAAGATTAAAACTCCCTTAGGAGAATGATACAGACCATCCAAGCAACTGCGGTCACCCTGTCCCAACACCACCAGACACACACTCAGAGACAGGCATCCTAGGGCATTAGAAGGCCACCCAGTCATGTGCCATACTCAGTCTATAATCAGTGTAAATAAAAAGCTACTTTCCCAAACTGATCGCTTCCTCTTTCCCCACCTCCTCTGCTCGTATTCTCTCTCCTTCCCCTCTTCCTACACATCATACTAAGGAGAGAAAAGCAGGGCCTATTTATCATTTCTTAAAATCACTTTTAAATGCTTAGAAATAGAAACAGTATCCAATTAACTATCCATTTCTAGATCCCTAGAGATACAGAAGATGGATAAATAATAATAGCAGCACATTTCTAAGCTGGAGGAGGTGAAGAGGACTAGTTCCATTTCACAAATAAGGCAACAGACAAACTCATTGCCATTTAACTCCAGGAAATGGTGAAGGACCAGATGAATCAAAACGTCTTTCCCAAATAGTTCTTTTTCTCTCCTTTGTATGAAGTCTTATCAAATAATTCTTTATGAACTCTTTTTAGAGAATCTCTGGCTTTATAAATGTTCTCGAACTTGTGGATCAAACACTGGGGATGAACTGTCATTATGCAAGGCCACCGTACAAAAGCCCCTCTCTTAGTAACGGCTTCTCCCTTCATGATGACATTGTCATTCTCCATGAGAGCAGGCCACACATGGTAGAAGACCAGGGGAGCGGTGAAATCAGAGTCGTAGCTGCGACGGTACCTGTAATAACACACAAAAGCACAGAAGAGAAGCAATGATAGACCATAAGCCTGGTGGGGGGCGGAGAATGGGGAGGGTGGGTACCAATATAAAGTTTCATTTTTATTCTGTTCATATCTAGATAAATATGAATCCTGCTTCTGTTATTAAAATGATTGTGGACTCCTAAAAATAAGAACTAGTGTTAGCAAGAAGCCAGCATGAACAAGTCATGTTTAATTAATCCTGCTCTAATTAATCCTGTCTCTTGTCTTCTGAGGATTACAAAAGTTGCAACTAGGGAAATGCTAACTATGTAAACCATTCAAGTCTTACAGGTTTTTAACAATATTTTCCATCTATCTGCGTAGACAAAATACAAAAACTGTGGATTGGAAAGTAGTTTGATAATCCTATCGAGAGATGGGCAGCAGCTAATGGGTGAGAACCTGAATTAAGATGGGAAGGGCTCTGAGTCCCATGATAAATGTGCCCATGGAATATAGCAGAGAAAGAATTCAAAGGTGGGGAGTCGGTAAAGGCAAAAACAGGTGACAGTATCAAAAAATAGCTCAACAGTCTGGAATAATAAGTGAAACCCACCGTTTGATCCAGCTATCCCACTTCTGGATATTCATCCAAAGAAGAAAAAATATTAACTCTAAAAAATATACGCATCCCCATGTTCACTGCAACATTATTTACAGTAGTCAAGCTGTGAAAAACAACCAATTTATTCTCTGATGAATGAATAAAATGTGATATATTTAAGCTCTACGTGACATATATTACTGCATCTATATGGAATTTGCTTATCCATTAAAGAATGAAATGTTATCATTTGTGACTACATGAAAATACCTCAAGGCAGGGCAGAGAAAGACAATTATCGTATTATCTCGCTTACTGTAGAATCTTAAAAAAGAAAAATACTGTGGTCTTAGAACAGAGAATAGATTAGTGATTGCCAGATACTGGGAATGGGGTGGACAAAATGGGGGAAGGGTTTCAAGAGGCCCAAACTTCCAGTTATAAAATGACTAAGCCATGGGAATGTGATGGACAATAGTAGGTACTAAACTGCATATTTGAAAATTGCCAAGAGAATTGAACTCATAAGTTATCACTATGAAAAAAAGTTTGTAATTATGTATGGAGCAAACATTAGCTAGGCTTACTGTGATCATTTTATAATATATACTCATACTAAATCTTTACAGTGTCTACTCAAAACCAATACAATGTTAACATGTTGGCTAGATATAAAAATATTTTTGAAAACCAATAAAAATAGACCTTTGTATTTATATAGCATCTCTCTAAAAATGTTCCAGGCTCCGGGAACTCATTCTTTACCCACAAGACCAATATGTTCAACGGAAATCATAACATTTTCTGAGGAAGAAAATCACCACAGTAGAGGGTCCTGCCCTCTAGTACAGAGGAGTATATGGCAGAATATGGAACCCAGGAAGTGCCTAATTTTACTACCAAGAGTTGTTTTCCCTAAATTGTTCCCAGGGAGTAGAGACAAGATGATTTACACATAAAGAAACTCTTAGCTTCTACCCCTATGTCTCTTACTTGCAGTCATTAAAAACTTCTCCATCGGCCCCAAAAGCAATATCTAGGGGTGGTTCTAAAGTCTGCATTGCAAAGGCAATGCAACATATCTCCTGGATGAAGTTACTGAGGATGCAAAAGTCAACTTCAGGAGGGAATGAAATCTTGGGATTGACATTCATGGCTCGGATCACATCCTGAAAAAGAAACATAGCATCACCGTGTTACCAAGCTGTGAGAAGAAGCTCTAGCAATCTACAGGTTATGAAATGGGAGGGGGAAAGAGGGCACCCAGTTACCAAGGCACAAACAAGGTCAACTAGAAGAGTGTGTGTTCTAAAAAAAAAAAAAAGCCAGCTGAAGAAAAATCCATGCCCATGCCTGGCTTTTACTTATTACTTCCCTACTTTTCTATTTTGGGCAACTATATGGTATGCCAACACAGAATTCCGATTTGTTCATAATCTAAGCAATAACAATTACTATAGCTTGCGTGTATTGAGAGTTTACTATGTACCAAGTTTTGTGCTTAGCAAATTACCTGCTTGCTTTCATTCAGTCCTCTCAAGAATTCTATGAGGTCATGACCATTGCTACTCCTATTTAAGAATTAGATAACTAAAACACAGAGAGGTGAAGTAAAGGTACAAGGTCACACAGCTAGGAATTGGCAGAACCAGGACACAAAGCCATACGTATCTTTCCCAAAGTTGAGAACATTTCTCCCCATAAAAAGTCTAAGAAACAGCTGAGAATAACTGGTTCTACAAAGCGAATTGCTTGCTGCTCATTTATGCTCTTTCATAACGTAAAAGCAATACTGAGCACCGGATGGAGACTTAGTACTCAGTGTAGTGCAGTGTGTGTATTCAAATTAGCATTCCAATATCCAGCTGCAAACCAGTTGCAATAAGAGGTCTGACACTTACGTTAACACTGCTTTGGGAATCATACAGATCAAGGTGACAAATGATGTATTCCGAGACAGCATCCTCAAAGTCATTCGACCCCGCATATGATGGTGTCAATGATTTCCTCACGCGGATCTTGAAATGTCTGAAAGCCATCTTAGCTACATGGAATGCCTCCTACACATAAAAAGGCAGAAAATTCATTTGGTAGGAGATAAAGGTACAAAGCAAGGAATGAAAAGAATATTTCCTCACGCGGATCTTGAAATGTCTGAAAGCCATCTTAGCTACATGGAATGCCTCCTACACATAAAAAGGCAGAAAATTCATTTAGTAGGAGATAAAGGTACAAAGCAAGGAATGAAAAGAATATCCATCAAATTGGTTTCTGCTAACTAAACAAAGTGACCAAAATTATTTTTAATCTGGAAGAAAAAATACACCTGAATTTTGAAAAGTACATAAATAGACATGACTAGCTACATCCACTAATGTATGACCACTGTTAACGGTAATTTGGGATGCAGGACAGAACACAGATTCAAGGAAATCAATGATCTGGGGTTACATGAATAATTGGAAAGTAAATGGATCCTGGGACCCCACAGCAGCATATTATCCCTGGTCAAGAAATAAAATTATCAAGCAGTTGTTTATGTCATATCCAGTCACTACCAAGTGTCTGGCATGTTTCTGGGAATGTATTAATTCAACCAACGCTCCGGTATGGTGACTCTGTGTGTTTTGAGAGACTCAGTTATGCATAAAAGACAGCTACTACATTTACACGACTTCCAGCCATTCAGTGACTCTTATTTCCATAAACCCAGGGGGTGGAAAATATTCACTATTTTTAAATATTTTTAAATATTTTAGGGTTTGTGGGTCTCATGTTGTCTCTAAATCACTTTCCCCCCAAACCTTTGAAAATGTAAAACCAGTCTTATAGTCAGTGATACTTTGCTCAGAGACACAGACCAGGGCCACATAGAGCCTACAGGTGGCCCAGAGGTCATAGTTTTCAGACCTGTAATATAAATGAATAAATATATGGGATAAAGTTCAGTAGCTTATAATTCTTTTCTCATACTGATGTGTGATTTTGTCACATTTAACTGGTCCCATAAAAGACTTACCGCTCAATATAGTACCCATAGAAGAAATGAGTTTGTTTGGGAATGAAGGATTAAATATAAGCATTTTCTAATCTGACACATTCAGGCAGCTACTATATTACCAACATATGATAGATTAGTACCTATTAGCAAAATAAACAGAAGAGTTAATGCTACCAGTCTTCTGGTTTTTCCTAAGAATTGAAGAAAATACATCAAAACCACAGCCTTTGACTAAGCATACACAGGAGTAGTATGCCACATTAGAATATTATGCAAACCCCTTCAGTATGACCCATAAATGAGACAGTCCTATATTTCTGGAGGCATCAATAAGTGGAACGTGTGGACAGTGACTGTGAAATATGATTCATCCCACAGCAATGCCTGCGGGGTAAGGGCTGGGGTGGGGGAAGGAAGAGAGGGAAAGCCCACCCTCCTTCCTGCCTTGACAGTCTGCTTTTCAAACTGCACTGTCCAGCCGGCCAAACTGCTATCTCCGCACAGTGCCCAGCACAGCGGGGCAGTGTCACCTACCACGGTGGCGATGTAGATGATGCGCTGCACCGTCTCCGCTTTGTCGATGCAGCGCCGCAGCAAGCACTGCACGTCCAGGCGGGCCTGAGAATAGGCGTCGCTGAACCGGGACAAGAGGGCGGCCTTTCGCGCCACGCTGGACAGTTTGGCGCGATTCGGAGACGGGGTCCTGACCTTGGCGACGCCGGCTGAGGGGCTGGCTGACCGGCTGCGGCTCTGGCTGCGGCTGTGGCTAGGGCTGTGGCTGCGACTCTGGCGACGACTCTGGCTGCGACTCTGGCTGCGACTCTGACTCCGACTCTGGCTCCGGCTGTGGCTGCGGCTGTGGCTGCGGCTGTGGCTGCGGCTGCCAGGATGAGGGCTAGGAGACCGGCTCCTGGCGGACCTGCGGGAGGCACGAATCAGGCCAGGAAGCCAACTGCGGACGATACCCGCAAGTCCTGGGCTCGGCAGACAGGGCAGAGTGCTGCCCTCAGGACTCTTGCATGAGACGGCAACTATGACCACAGCCCAGAGCTACTATTTGCCTAGGGAAGCAGAACTCATGAAGCATTTCTACTCACTGAGTACCACACTGATCATTTCAGTGGCCCAGGGAGGCCAGCATTGACTGCTGGTCCTCTTACAGATGAGGAAACTATAGCTCAGAAAAAGTAACCAGATGTCCTAGAGCCAGTCAGCAGGAGCCAGAGTTAAAGAAATCAAGTCTTCGGCATTTCTTATACAGAACTCGGGGTCTTAGCACATCCCATGGCCCTCATGGTATAAAATGGGACGAACACTGACTGAACAATGCTGAAGATCTGTGTTCTCATCCCAACTCCGCGTCCTAAAAATACCATCTGCAATCCTCTCTCCTGTCCAGAGCCTGAGTTTTCACCTATATGCAGTTTGCAGTACCTGGGGACAGAGAGCAGAAGATTGGGTGTCCATGTGTAAGCAGTCAGTGGGCTAGAAAGCACTGTTCAGTGAAAAGGGCAATGCTAGTAAATACAAAGCAAATTATCAAAGGAAATGGGCTCTCCAAAAGGGAAGTTGTTTACAGAAGGAACTGTAGAGCAACAGGCCAACTCTCCAGATGTTGGTGGGGGAAGTCGCTGAAAGGGTTTGCCAGTCTCCAGTCTCCAGGCTGCAATAAACACTTGCAGCCAATGTCAAGCTACGCATGTGAAGTCACTGAACTCAGGGTTAGGCAGAAATGCACAAAATCAGTTATTGGGAGTCAGTACAAAAGAGTATTAGCACAATATTGCCAGCGCAATTGCTGAAAAAGAAGACTAATGACACTACTTAAGGGAATGAGGACCGGAGGTGGGGGTGAACCTGGGGTTTGGGGAGCAGGCTTGTGGAAAACAAGGAAAACAGAGAGATTCCAGAGAGAAACGACCTATTTCGCCCTCACTTGACAGTGTCTGAATGACCTGGGTTAACATGTGTGCCTACTTAGAGGGGTTTTCGCAAGAACACTCACCTACAACCTCCATCAAAGTAAAGCATAGAAGAGGGAATGTCTTACAGCATATTTTGGAACATTTTCATTGTGGATACCACCTCTTGCAGTACAGTCCTACATAAATCTTTTCTCAAGCCAGAAAGCTCTCCTTTTGCACATCTCTCCAGTTTCATTCCTTCAGCTTCAACGTGAGCCCCCCAAAGGAATTAGTAGGACTCAAGTGCTGGGGACCCACAATCCAGGAGAAGTATTCTTCATATGGAGAAAGCACCCCCTAACCCCCACCACCACCACGACCACCACTGCTGGGATTTGGGTTCAGGATATCTTTTTTCTTTTTGTTTTCCAAGCCAGACTTTGATCACTAACACAACAAAAGGAGATGAAATAAAAAGATCTGTGAGAATAGGTCAAACCTTCCTTGGAGTGCAGATTTTTCAGCATTCAGAACTGCTATCTCGTCCTTGAGCGTTCGGAGCTGCTTCTCGTAATCAGAAATCACATCGGCACACTGGTCTGTGCTCTGCATGTCCGGGCTGCGTGCCTCCCTGACTCTTTTCTTGAGCAGAGAGCCTCGCGGCTCGGTCTTCCGCGACTCAGAAGCCCGCTCTGAACTCCGCTCCGAACCTGGCTCCGAACTCCGCTCCGAACTGCGACGACGCTCCGAACTCTTGCTGCCGTAGTCTGAGCCCCTGTGCTCTGAGTTTCTGTGGCGGGCTTCCTCCTGGGCTTGAAGATTTTTAAGCCTGAACAGGGGGAAAAAAAAAGGATTTTAAAGAAAAAAGAGGGGGAAAGGTAATAAGCAACGACTGTCATAGGTGACTACTTAGTATGCCACCATTACCTCGGAGAGACACAAGTCAGGGTCAGGGGGCCAATCTATGCCTGCAGCTTGTGTGTGGAAAAACATCAACTGATAAAAGGATAAACACTCGGACCCTCTAGCCAAAGCATAGCAGGCTTAGAGCCTCACTGGTCCATAATGAACTGATGACTGATCTGAACCGCCAAAACTCTGCAAGCACTGGACCTCCAGAAGCTGGTCTCAAAGATACAGCCTCTGTCCTCACTAGCTCTTCAGCTCTCGGAACAGATGGACTATGGAGAAAACTCCAATGGAAACGGAGTAAACTTCATGATAATAAGGTAAACATGGATCTATGAAAATCATGTATTAGAGAAACAAAGTTTTAGATATAAAGCTGGCATGCTCGTTAAGATAGAAAGTGGCATGCCCACCATAAAAATAACAGTAAAAGTTGTAAGCAGAGGAGAAGCTGTGATGAAGACAACAACAGTGGAGGATAAAAGGTAGAGGGGTGAGGCTAAAGGGGACATGGAGTAGCTAAAAATGCAATAGCAGAATTCAAAGCTGCACTAAAGCAGTGAAGAATAGGATCGGTGCTGTAAGAAATCACTAAAATGGTCAAAGTGTTTGAGAAGATACATCAACTAGAAAATAAGACATTAAAATGATGATGAGGGGGAAAACAGAACAAAACTTGAAGCTAAATATATGGGTGTTCCTGAAGAAATAAGAACAACTGGAGCATGTATGGATGAAATAGAAAGGTATTCATTTGTGTACACACATGTTTGTAATCTCAGTCCCACTTGCTCTTGAAAGGGAGTGGGGGGGGGGGACGGGGCGGGAATTAAGATCAAGGAAGAAAAATTAAGATCAAGGAAGAAATAACCTTAAAGAAGCAGTGTTTATACTCCCCTTTTAGAAATTTTTATTTAGAGAATAATCTGAGACTTACACTAAAACTTGCCACCAGAAAAAAAATTAGTAACAAAAATTAGTAAATGTTCATTAGGGAAATATTCAAGAAATGTGAGAGGATGCATCTAAACTAAACTGCAATTTTCCCCTAGTAACACTGCTAAGTGAAAAACTAGGGTCGTCAGGTATATACTTAATTTGTAATTTTCAGTCTATTTTCATTGTACTAATTGGAAGAAATGTCAAATCATAACAGTAACTGGCTCTGAAATTATGAAAAGACAAATTATGAGAGGATTTTTTGATCCCTTCATACTATGTTGTACTTTGATCATGCTTTTTGTGGTAAGAAAGATATGTGAGACACTAATGAAAATACTGCTGCCTTTCGTCTGTGATTGTGAACAGGTTCTTTCATACTGTAATGGAGTATCAAAAAAACTACATTCAAAGATTAGTCAGCAGGCTGCCATAATCCTGTCATTTTTTCCTTACTGCTTTTTTAGCTGATTTATTTCCTCCTCTGCAGCCAAAAGGGATATGGTCGATCTGTTCTTGGTTTCTTCAAGAGTCTTTTCAGTTGCGGCCAGACTGTAAGAGAAATCAGTAACTAAAGACAGATTTTCCAAATTGGTAGACTTTCTAAATCTAGGAATAGGCCCTCTTGGGAACAGTGGCATATGATACAAATTCAGTATAAACAAGATCAAATTATAAGGCATCTGCATCCAATCAGATGATATTGAAAATATTATGCACTTGTATGAAAAAACACGCTAGCATCCTTCCTCAGTGTCAAACACAAAAACATTATAGAGCTACTAGCCCTAGAATACAATATGATTGTCAATATTAGAAGGTAAAACACAAAGAAACCTGTTCAAACCCTCCTCCTCACCCTCCTAATTCATCTGCTCTAATTATACCAAATCCCCAGGTTGCCTTTTTCTAAAAATCTCCATTTCTTTGTGATAAATACATATTTTTCTTATATTGCACTGTACAGTTGCATCTGACTTAATTTTCCAGTCTTAAAAAATAGAAAAAAAAATAAGAATTTGCCCCTTTATGAAGAAAGGAGCATAATCACACTTGACTACCAACTATTTTATATCTTCCTGACGCTGCCTTCCATCACTACTGGACAAAACTTTTCCTGATTTTTCAACATAACTCAGTCATTGTTAGTACCAAGGACTCTCTTTACTGCAGGCAAATCATAGTAAGTGATATTTTGTCTTTAAGGGATCTAGATGTAAAAAGAAATGAGAGTGTGACGAATGATGTCGGATGAGGAACCTCCATCATCCATTGGAGCCATCATTAAGTGGTTTCCAATGAAGCTGCACTGGGCCAGTGATAGACAGCCAGTGGCAGAGGCCCTTGCTCTGACCCGACTTCCGGGGACAGCCACTCTTTCATCACAGAGGTCCTGCAGCGAAGAAAGAGCACCTGCTTTCTATATTCACACCTCTCTCCCTCCTCCTCGTCAGATGAAGAAAGGGAGAGTAAACACTGTGTTCCTCCCTCCCTAGACAGGGGAGCAGATTGAGCAATAATGTATTAGTAGAAACCCTACCAAGTCCCTCCAGATTCCACCCAATCAGAATATGCAAGAGGTAATGTGAGTTACCCCAAATGCTGCCTCCTCCCCTCTTCTTCCTCTAAAAAGTCCTCACTCATCCGCTGAGTGTCCCTCCAAATGTCCTGCCTGGCTCTCTCAAGCACTTGTCTCCTCTACTCCTCAGCTCCTCCAACAACTGGTTCACATTTATGATCTCATTACAAATACTGAAAACTATTTGAGGGAAAATTTTTGCCTTATTCATCTCCTACTCCCAGCACCGAAAATAGAGCTTGTCACATAGTAGATATTAAACACACACATACACAAGAATGAAATGTCTAAACCCTAAGACAGATCCAAAGTACCAGATAACATATATGACAAGACTGCTGGGAGCTGAAAGAAAACTGTTGTGGTTTAATTCAAATGGAAATATGTTATGGGTGTTTAAAAGTACATATAGGAAAATGAACATTTTAATCAAAATCACAGAAAATTAAAAGAAGAAAATAGACCAAAAGAGAAAACAGAGTATGAACAGGAGTAAAGTAGGTTATTTTTTCTCTCATGACATGACATACAAGTATGAACGCATATACTCAAGCAACATACATGTTAATTTGGTGCTCTCAGGTGACAGATAGAGAATAAGTGGGGGTACATTCGGGTGCCAAGCACTGTTGTATGCGAGTTGACATTTAAAATGTTTACAGGTTTATTAGTCCATTGAGCAAATTATTGAGAATTTCTATGGGCCAGGCATGATGTTGGGTCTGGCGATACGATGGTGTCAAACAGCAATACAAGCTACTGTTTGGAGCTCCCAGTCTAGCAGAATATGAATATGCAGACACGTTTTTTAATGTCCCAAATTGTAAGTGCGTTCTTTAGTTCTGTGAAGAGAACTGAAGGGCGGGAGAAGATCTTCTGATGCAGAGTGGCCAGATGCCAACTCTGAGGAGATCACATTCGAGTTGAAACCACTAATAAGAGTTAGCCAATCACAGAGCCTATGGGGGACACGCAAGCAGAGGCTGTAAAGTTAGGAAGCAGAACGCAGAGTGGTAAGGCCAGAATGGCCTGAGCTAAGGGGAGAGAGGAGAGAGGCTGGTCAGGTCACACAGGCCTGTGAGAGCCCAGGAAAGAAGTTTAGAATATTTTTTCAAAATCTGAAAGGAGGCTACTTTTGACAGGTTTTTCAGCGAGGTGACGTGATACCATAAAATTATCTCCATTACCGGGGTTGTTGTAGAACAAGAGTGAAAGCAGAGAAGCTGACTGAAAGACAACTGGTTGGTGCCACAAGGTACCAAAGGCTTGAACTAGGGCAGTGTGGGAAAAGAGGGGGAGGAGGGGGATTGGTGTAGGAGATGTGTGGTGATAGGCTCAAATGCATGATGCCCCGGGCCGCAGGGACGAGCTGAAAACAAATGAGAATCATAACCAGAGACTGAGCATTCTGGGGGTTACCAACGCTGGGCAGACCTGTCCCCATTCAACAGTAGGTCACAACCAAACAGGTGTCCCACAAGGTGAGACATGGGGAAACTCCTTTGGGTGACTCATTCCACAGCAGGTGGAATCTGGCTTTCCAGTCAGGTGGGCAAAGGAAGAGAGGGAACAGACACCATCCATTATGATGTCTCCAACACAAAAGAATGAGAACTCCAGGTGGGTTAAAAAAACAACTGACAAAACTAGGAAACCAAGGGTTACACAGCAAACACCATTCTATTAGCAGCTTGCAAATGAGGTGCAGAACAAAGGTATATGCATAGCAAACACACTACAAACAGGTAAAGTAAGTGACTGACAGGATGTCGATGCTATTATCTTGCAAATTGTCTATGTTTGCACTTATATTTAAAAAAAAAAAAAAAGTATCCTGGTACAGGGTGCCCCTGTGAGTAACCACAGGGCTGTAGGGATGAGAGGTAGGACTCCCTGGCTCCAATGGGTGGCAAAGTTCCACAGCTAGCCAGCCAAATCCTGAAGCTCTAGCTTTCAAATAAGAGACAAAAGGAGGGGCCTGTGTGGCAACAGCATGGCGAGCAAATGCCCCAGAGCTAACCAGAAAGCCACGACTCAAAGCCACCAACCTGAGTCTCCAGTGCCCAGGTGGAACTGAGGTCAGTCGGAACCCAGCGTGCAAGACCAAAGCCCCTCCCCAGCACCAGGAGAGCATGCAAGAACCCCTCCACGCCTAGATGTTAGTCTAAGGAAGGAGGAAGGCCATGAATCCTTGGAGTGGGCAAAAACCCTAACAGCGGTTTGAACCTGGAATATTTACACAGAAAAGATCACAGTAAATCAGAGAAGTGGCAAACTTAAGACTCTTCCTTACTGCACTACGAATTCAGCTGACATGAACTGTAATAAGTTCTAGAAATACAAACGACTTCTATTTTACTTGCTATGGTTGCAAATTTTGACTGCCACAGCTATAAAACTGCCGCTGACCGTGATTCCTATTGGAAAAGAGCGGGGGCGTGTGGCCTCACTGTGGGCTCGTCAGCACACACAAAGAACGGTGTCGGGAATAAAATACACTGATACTCCAACTGGGACTACATAGCGAGTGATTTTCACCTGAGCTTTCATCTGTTGTATGCATTCTAGGAGTCAGCTGTATGACTTTTGTAATGATGTGGTGATACTTTCCTTAGGGGGCCTCCTAGAACAATAACAGACCCCTTCATCACAAGCCTTGACCACTTTTAAAAGAGCCCTCGTTGCCCCACACGTCAGCACTGGTGCAGTCTGGCGTCGGGCGGACACCTGGCTGGCTGCTGGCTGCCTCTCATCACGTCTGACTGTCCTCCTCAGGGTCACATGCAGAGTCGGCAACTTTCCCTGCTGTGACCCCTTACTCAACACATAACATCCATTCTGTATCTGTTGCTGCCTGGTATCGTTCCACTTTTAAAACACATGTTTACATCCAACAGTTATCCAAACATTTGAAATGTTCCTTCTTTAAAGAATGACTGTCTCAGGTACTCAAGTACCCTCTAAGTGAAGACACCTGGTAAACAGAAATGGCCTCTTTCACCTCTTTTAGCTGCCTCCCCCCCTTCATCTTGTATAACTTTCCTCCCAAAAGAAAGCTCTTCATGGAGCAATCTTCCTCTGCTTATAAATACGTGCTATTCTGCACCGGTTGAGGAGGAGGTCTCCAGGCATTAGAGGGCGAACAAGATAACATAACGTCTGTGCCCACACGTGATTCCCTGCTCACACACCCCCCAAAATTACTTATTTGCAAATATGTACATTTTCTATGAACCATTATTCTCCTTTCAAACTTAAAAAGTAAGTGAAAACAAACAAAAAATTCTTTTTGGAAAAGATAACTTGCATTCCTCTTACTCGTCTTGAACCTGGTTGAGCTGATTTCGAGTTGCGATCAAGTCAGAGTCAAGCTGTGCTTCCCGCTCCTTAATGCTGGAGTCTCTCCCTTTGTCCTTATCGAAGGTGTCCTGGAAGGATACAAATCAAAAAGGAGAATGTGGATGGGTACAGAAATGCTGGGCTAAGCAAAAGCAGTCAAGCACAAGAAAGGACAATGTATGGTTTTGTCTAGGTGAAGTTCTAGGGGCGGAATCTATCTGGGGTGATAAGAATCAGAAGAGTGGGTGCTCTGGGGCTGGAGAGAGGTACCAGTAAGTGCTCTGGTGTGATGGAAATGCTTTATCTCCTCATAGGGGCGAGAATTATAAGGATAGATGTATTTTCCAAAATCCATCAACCTGTGGATTTCCATCAGCCTATGTAGTTTTCACAGGAAGTAAATTATACTTCTTTTTTTAAAGACATAGAAATGTCCTTCTACATGTCTCAATATTGCAAATAACACCTCCAGCTGGCAAAAATTTTGAAAAGCATATGAAAATAACCAGGGGAAAATTTTGGCTTAATGATAATTTATCTCTGAGATTGCATAACCATATGTAAGCTGTTTTACAAGCTTATCACATTTAATCCTCACAATGACCCTCTAAAGTCAGCAAAGGCATCACGCATTTAAAAATCAGGACACTGACTCACAAAAAGCTGAACAATACACTCAGCACTGTGGAAGGAGGATTGTAACTCTGTCTAACCATAATACTATTTCACACAGGCCACTAGAATAGGCCTAGAATATCTTGCTGAAATGTTTTAATTTAGAAAGATCTTTTTGTAAATGCACACGAACATTTAAAACCGGGGTGACTGATGCTTTGCTTCCCCAAACATAAGCCGCAATGCCTTCTGCAGGACATACGTTCTCTTTCCAGCCTAGCTTTTGATTGCTAAAACCCTGACATTGGCCATGGTGGCCACCAGTGTCAACCACAGATTACCACACACTGTCTGCCAGAACTAAATGTTCTTATCCTGGAACTTCCAATTCACTTTATGTCACTCGTTCATCTTCCCTGTGACGATCTCTCTCTTCTGGGCCCTTACCACACTGTGCCCAGGTGACTCATTTGTCACTTGGAATTTATTATTTAATGCCTTGTGTGAGCAAGGCCCCAGATGGAGATCATCACCAGACCCCTTTAATAACTGAAGAAGCAGGGGCCTTTCACTGGTTTGCCTGAAGTCACACCAGTAGTCAGGAGACCAGGCTTAATGACAATTAAGATTTGAACGTGGGCCCTCCCTAGTGGTGCAGCAAGTTAAAGCACAGCACTAAGAAGCTAAAGCCACTTCAGCATGAGTTTGATCCCCACCCCAGGAGGTGATCCATGTGGCGTGGCAGACCTCTCCTGACCCGCCCCGCTGCTCCCCTCAGCAGTCTGCCTGTTCTGCTCCCCATTCTGTCTCTGGTGAATCCTCTCACCGCCCCTGCACCTCTGGCTTGTACCCTAGTTCTGTATGCATACATAGATAAATCTTAAAAAAAAAAATGTGAACATGGGTCTATCTTAAGAGAAAACCCCATCCTTTATGCCAAATACTAAACAGAGTCTCATCCTTTATACCTGCACCCCAATTCCCTAAGTAGAGTTAAGCCCCTCCTTAAGGAAAACCAGATCTCACATGTGTTTCCGTTCCCAGGGCCTGGGAAGGATGCTGAAAGTCCAGGTGACCTAGCATTCTTACCTGAAGGGAGGGGACCCTGCTGTCAATAGGTTTTCCCAGGGAAGCCGCAGTAAAAGATGCCTCCAGCCAGGGCAAAAGGCGTGATTTGATCACTTCCACACCCTCATGTCGTCCTCCTAAAAAAAAGTCAGGTCAGCGAGAGAAATTTGGTCACACCACTAAGTCAGAGAACAAAGCACAAAGAACAGAAAGGAAGCTGGATGGGAAAGTGCCGACCACGCTCACCTTCCTGGGCGGTTACAGTGAGGATCCCAAACAGCTGCCCCTGCACCTTGGCGACTTGTTCGATGAGTTCCAGGCAGATATTGAGATTTTGATCACATGAGTTCGTCTAAAAGCCAAAGCGGTAGACATCAGTGTGATTGCTTTATCCTGGGCCCAGTGCAAGCAACGAGGGGAGTCCCTGCATTCTCCTGGGAGCAGAGACTGCTGTGTGTTCACCAAGACACAGTTCTCTTTCCTTCTGGGTGCAGAGCTATAGGATGATTTTTCTATGGCTTCCTAGCAGCTTGCGTGGCCACGTCTTGGGGGATTCTCTTCTTTCTGTCCTAACTCACCTGGCAAATGCAGAGAACCCAGCCAAAAGCCCCCAAAGGTATAGGGATGGTAGGGCCACAGATTTGGAAGGCTCTCTGGAGAACCTTGTTTTAACTGTTACATAAATGTGTGGAAGTTTGAGGAGTTAAGGAAATGAGATTCAGGATTGCTTTTTACAGCAAGAACCCTGACTCCCTTCTCAGTGGAATCCTGCCAAAAATCTTTTGTAAGTTGAACAGACCTTTTGTAAAAGGGTACATACAGATCCACTACTTCCAAACTTACCTGCATTTCTGGACTCGTCCTCTACAGAAGTTCAGTATGTGTATAGACTGCATGATTATCAGTAAGAAGATATCGCTGGGGATAAAGGATTGATCACAAAGATATACAAAGAAATGATGAAACTCAACAAAAATAAACAACCTCATCAAAAAATGGGCAGAAGAAGACACTTCTCCAAAGAGGAAACGCAGATGGCCAACAAGCATATGAAAAAAGGTTCAACATCACTTGTAATAAGGGAGATGCCAATTAAAACCACAATGAGATATCACCTCACCCCAGGGAGAATGTCACATCTTAAAAGAACTAGCAACAACAAATGTTGGCGAGGATGTAGAGAAAAAGGAACTCTCCTGCACTGGTGGTGGGAATGCAAACTAGTACAACCACTATGGAAAACTGTTTGGAGGTTCTTCAAAATGCTAAAACTTCCCTATGACCCAGCAATCCCACTCCTAGGTATCTACCCAAAAGACACAAAAACACTGATTCAAAAAGACACCTGTACCCCCATGTTTATTGCTGCTTTATTTACAATTGGAAAGACATAGCAACAACCCAAATGCCCAAAAGTGGATGACTGGGTTAAAAAGATGTGGTACATATACACAACGGAATATTACTCAGCAACCAAAAAAAATAAATAAGTAAACACATGCCTTTTGCAGCAACATGGATGGAGCTGGAAAAGATCATGCTTAGTGAAATAAGCCAGAAAGAAAAGGAAAAATACTGGATGGTTTTACTCATAGCAGGAGTATAAAGGACCAGGGGAGAAAATAACAATAATAATGAACAGCTGTATACCATTTTATGGAGGCGGAGTGAGGAATGGGATCAAAAACAGTGGGGGAGAGAAATGCACTGAACTATGTTGGTGGCACATGGGTGATCTGGTGATGGGAAGCCCATGGGGAATTACAGCTAAGATGGAAAAATGCACAAAATGATGTAAAAATAAACTATTATATTATTCATTAAAAAAAAAAAAGAAGCTACCATTGGGTTAGGCTACACTTGAGAATAAGACCAAAAATGACTTCCCCTGCCCCAGGTGATACAGGTAGACTAGTGGGGGAGACAGGAGAGGGACAGTCGTCCTGCAGTGGAATCAAAAGTTTCGTTCCCAGAGGTGAGCATGAGTTCTGCTCTAAAGTCAGTGGTCTCAGACACTCAGGAAAGGCTTCTGAGAGAGAATGAAATCAGGAAGATATGGGGAGCGGGGGGGTGAGGAGGGGCTCAAGTGCTTGTAGAAAGCTATTATTCAGCTTTTGTCTCCATGGTGAAATTTTACCATTTCCTGATCAGCCAGACCTCTGAAGGAGCACAACTACATGTAGATCACGGGGGTGAAGATGCATGGACTTGTGTGTCATCCAGCCACAGGCACTCAGCCACTGGTCCATTTCAGATGATCCTGCACAGGTCGTTTGACCTCTCTGAATCTACTTCTTCTCCATGAAAATGGGCATAATGCCTTGCAGTGTTTTAGAAGTAAACCAAATTAATGCATGCCCCACACCTTACAGACAGAAGGTGTTTGATAACTGGGACTCTAAGGTGGTATGTAGTACTGAGAGGAACAATGGGCTTAGGAGTAAGCAGACCTCCGCTCAAATCGGGTTCTCCTCATTAGCTGCACTCCATTTAAATATGAGCCTTTATATTTCTTCAGACTTAGAATATGAACGATCTCACAAGCTAACTCAGGTGCAGAGTAGAGGAGGTTTAGAATTGGTAGGAGTATTAATTGTCGTATTATTACTACCTGTTCCTGTGCCTTGCCCAGCACCTGGTACAAAGCAGGTGTCCAAAGGGGTGTTTGTCAAGTGAGTGGTGTACAGAACTTGAATAACAGGAGAGAACAGACGGTGTGAGGCAATTCCTTGTCCAAAGACATGCCACAGCATGCTGCAGCCTCTAACACAAAGCTTTGCACGAGATACTCAAGTTGCAATAAGGTCACATTATTTTACAACAGACACATATTTACACAAGTGTAGAGCAAAGATAGGAACTAATTATGCCCTCTACCGCTTCAAAGTGCAGACTCTCAAAGTTTATTCATTCATAAATCATGAAGTCCCTATTAATAAGGCCTTGAGCTGTCAGCTCAGGAAACAGAGTTACATTAAAAAAAAGTTTCCGGCTTTATTGAGCTCACCAGCTGGGGAAATGGGATAGAGAAGCACAAGGGATAGATAATTACCTTCAAGTTCATTAGTGCTCTACATGCTGAAGAGGCAAAATATGCTCTGGAAAAGAGCCAGAGGTAGAGTTTCCAGAGTAGGAAAAGCAGGTACTAAGAAGCAGCAAGGCACAGAATGGGAGCTAGTGGAGTAGACATCGTCCATGGCTTACAGATGCATTTCTGATTTCTGAAGTTTCACCTCACACTAGTAAGAACGGCTATTTTTGAAAAAAAGAAGAAACAAGATTTGAAAAGAATGTAAAGAACAGGGATTCCTCACCCTCTACTGGTGGGAACATAACTGGCACAGTCATCATGGAAAATATTATGGAGACTTCTCAAACAGTAATAGAAATGCCTTGGAGTGTTTATCTAACAATATGAAAACACTAATTCAAAGAATATATACAAACGCTGATGTATAATGTAGCATTATTTTCAACAGCCATGCTATGGAAACAACCTAAATTCCCAATGACAACTGAATAAAGAAAATGGACATGATACACAATGGGATACTACTCAGCTATTAAAAAAAGATGAACTCTTGCTATTTGCTACAACAGAAGTAGAGCTGGAGATGATTATCTCAAATTAAATAAGTCAGTGGAGTAAAAATGCCACGACTTTAATCATATGTGGAAGATAAAGAAATAAAACAAATGAGGCAAAAATTTTTAGATGAAAAGAGCAAAACAGTGGTTACAAGAGAGACAGGGATGGGAAGGGGGATGGGTACTTGAGTAAAAGGGGTCAGTTGTACGGTGGAGGATGGAAACTAGACTTTACTGATGATGATGTGTAGCTTATATAGATGTTGAATTCTAGTATGTATGCCTGATACCACAGTATCAACCAATCTTACTGCAATTAAAAATAATACACTTGAGGGCTCTCCCTGGTGGCACAGTGGGTTAAAGCACAGCACTAAGAAGCTAAAGCCACTTCAGCATGAGTTTGATCCCTGCCACGCCCCAGAGGTTAATCCACCTGGTGAGGTAGACCTCTCCTGACCCGCCCGCTGCTCCCCTCAGCAGTGTACTTCCTAGATCTGTCTGTTCTGCTCCCCGCTCTGTCTCTGGTGAATCCTCTCACCGCCCCTGCATCCCTGGCCTGTACCCCAGTTCTGTAAGAGTGAATAAATAAATAAATCTTTTAAATAATAATAATAATAATAATAATACACCTGGCCCTCTCTGGTGGTGCAGCGGGTTAAAGCACAGCACTAAGAAGCTAAAACTACTTCAGCATGAGTTCGACCCCCACCCCCGGAGGTGATCCACATGGCTTGGCCTCTCCTGACCCGCCCGCTGCTCCCCTCAGCAGTGTGCTTCATCTGCTCCCCACTCTGTCTTTGGTGAATCCTCTCACCACCCCTGCACCTCTGGCCTGTACCCCAGTTCTGTATGCATAAATAAATAAGTCTATAAAAAGTAATACACCTAACCTACCGAACATCACAGCTAACCTAGACTAGCTGTGTTTGGTCTTGACTCAAACAATTATATTAGCCCTTGTTAGCAAAACTATCTTCTCCTCATGATCACATGGCAGACTGAGAGTTCAGCTCATGTCACTGTCCAGCATCATGAGAAATTATCACATCATCACTAGTCTGGGAAAAGATCAAAATCCAAAATGTGGAGTACACTTTCTACTGAATAAAGGAGCACGTTGGCACCATCTTAAAGTCAAAAGTCACAACTCAAACCACCAAATGTCAGGGCCCAGGGGCCAAATAATGAAGTACTCTCTTTGCCACAGTGTCCTGAACTTTATCCCATAATTGAAAGATCTAAAAGAGCAAGAGAGGACGACTGGTCCTTTTGGCTTATGTTGGGCTAGAGGCTGTGGAACATTCAAGAGGCTGTCTGGAAGGCAGAGGCAACCAGTTTGGGAGCTCTGAAGAAAGAACTAAGCTGGAGACAGATCCAGGAGTCACAGCATCTGGGAGGTAGTGAACACAGTATTGCAATGTGTCGTTACTGCACAGAAATCAAGGAGATAAGAACTAGGAAGGAAGGGTGTGGACTTGACTGACCACAGGGACTCAACTCCAGTCATACTCCAGCCATTGACCTATTTTACCTTTGCATAAGTTTTGTGCCCAGCTGAATGGTCCCCAATTCTTTGATCTCTCAGCTCCTTTAGTCCTGAGCAGCCATTTCCCTTGACGCAAGTCTGATCATCCACACTTCTACCCATGGTTCTCCCAGACCTACTACCCCCTCCTAACCTCGAATTCCTTCTACAACAGGTAAGAGAGACAGAAAATGTCTCATTGAACTAATAAAATGCATCACTAAGTTACTGTAATA